TGAATCAGTTCCAAGTACGACGATCTTTGGTGGGGGATAAAAGCCAGCACAAGAGAGAGTGTAGTGTCCAACCCCCGCCCCCACGGGGTTCCGTGCAGACACATTCTTTGTGTTCTATATGTTTTGTTTATCTCATATAGCTCATTTCGGATAAAATCTGTTGAGAAAGCAGCTCGGAAATCTGTGAATATGGATGGTCTCTTTTGCTCTGCTGCNNACTGAAGTTCAAAAGCACCCGCTTCCGGGCGGGAGGGTGGGATGAAAGAAGCTGCGTCAGCAGAGGCATTCTTTCGACAATCCATAGAGGTCATGGATGGTCTCTTTTGCTCTGCTGCACGTAACGATCCCGAGTAAGCTTCCGCAGAAAAGGCCTTGGCTTTGCCAGACCGGTCTGACGAGGGCAGGAGCTGAAGTCCAAGTTTGCAGAGAAACTGCGCACTGAAGTTCAAAAGCACCCGCTTCCAACTTTGCTAGGTTTTCATGTGGAGCTGCGCGCATCATGAAAGGAATTCACGAAACCGACCAGAAAACAAGCTGCAAGGTTAGCCAGCTGCTGAATCTGGTACCGATGGCTCTCTGCCAGGTCCACCAATAGCAGCTGGCCAGCCACATCTTGAAGATAATGTTCTAGCGTGCGTTTCTGCTGCCATCGACCTCGCCACATGATTTTCTCCACCGCCTCCGTGCGCTGGTAGAGCCAGGTGGCTCCCGAACCCCGCAAGGATTTAGGGGTAATACCATGTTGATCTTCTGAAACAGGCACCCCAAGGGCGCTGAACAGCGCATTCCAGCGCCGGCGCAGCACCGCAGGGCTGCAGTCGAAGAGAGGCGAGAGGGGATGGCAGTGGCCGAAGAGTGCATCTAAGAATGCCACCGAAAGCGCATCAGAAATGCGAGCGTGCTGTCTCTGCAGGAAACGTTTAGTCTTGGAACCCAGTATACGAACAAAGGCCACCGGGACGTTGGTGAGCAAATCTCTCGGCAAGATCAAATCTCTGCGACGCAGTCTCAGGATCTCGCTGGGCCGGAGTAAAGCGTGGAAACCAACCAACAGAAAGCCTGCGAAGTGAGGCCAGCGCCACAACAGTGAGAGCGCCACCGCAGCTCGGAGCAGCGACTCTGGCATCACCATTGAACGCTCGCCGGGTTCTTCTTCTTCCCACCGAGACAGGATGCTCCACGCAGCAGCGAAGTGAGCTCGTAGATGTTTGAATTGGTCGGACACCGCATTAATGCTTTCAGAAAACATATACTTAGGTTGACCCGAATAAAACAAACTTTTGCCGTAGCCCACCAAAGCAGTGCTTAAGAGCAACCCAGAGGCACAAACCTGGGCAAACTCGCACTTGAGCTCCTCTTCGATCCACCTGCAGAACTTAGCGTACAACTCGCGGCGACGACTCGCCACCACAGGGGTAAGACCTGCGGCCGGGTCCAAGTTCACGTTTGCTCGAGAGTCCTGGGTCGCTTTCCTTCGGCGTGGCATCCCAAGCAACCGCCAGCAGGAGCACGGCGAAACGGCTCCAGCCCGAGAGCGGCCAAGCACGATCGTCGGAACTGCGGACCAGGTCAAAGTACTTGTGTCGTCCGGCCAGAAAGTTACTCAACCAGAGCGGGCGTACAGCAGGGGCAGCTCTCAGATCGCGAAGCCGAGAGGGGTCATCCGAAACATTGTCATCAGTCCCTATATGGAACAGCGCAGGAAAGAGCTCACCGCCCAAAATGAACGGAAGGCTCGTGCTCAAGTAGTAGTTAAGCTTCATGCTGCTGCTCCTCCCTTTGGCGTTGCAACCGATTGTCACTCTGCTGTCAAGAAAAACTGCAAACCTGGAAACAGGACGAGTCGAAGAAAGGTGCCGTAGTAGACTACGCAAGCACAGCTCTTCATTGATGTTAATATGATTGATCTTCTTAAAGCGGTACTGAATCAGCTTCCTCCATTCCAGACAAGTGCCTAAGTCCCCAACCCATCGAGCAGGCTGATGTGCCGGGCGATGTGACATATCCCCGGCTGTACGCAAAGCACGAATCTTCGGGGCTTGTATGAGAAGCACTTGCTGCACTGCCTGAAGAGGACATGGGTGACTGTATGTACGTACAAACTCGCCTACCTCGGGCGTTCTGCCAAACACAGAAAATGCGTCTGGCCGGCAAAGGCACATGAACAGCTGAATGTTATCAGGTGTCAAGCGTGAAGCAATACGAAGGTGGCGATCTTTTAGCGGACAACTGCAAGCGCCTTCCATCTGCAAAAGATCAGGATTGTTGGTCAGCCAATGGGAGGCCCCTTGAAATGGAGAGCCGAAAGAACAAGCACAGAATCGGAGCCGATGAAAGCCACTGCGTAAAAGTCGGCCGAAAGTTCTCATTCTGAACATCACTGAGTTAGCAGGCTGCTCCAATGAGGCCAAGAGACCATAGGCGACACAAAGACGGAGGACGAATGCAATTCGTAGCGCTAGCCGATTTGCCTCCAGAGTGCGGGCTTCCTGAGGTTCCAAACCCCAGGGAGCCGAACGGCTCCGCAACTTGGGCTTCTCCATGCTACCAAAGGTTTTGCAGCCAGGGGCTAGATGAACATAAGCAACCACTCGTCGGCAGATCAAGCCTATGATGTGGTGCATGGGCTGCGACTGCAGCAAATCACCTTGACTGTCACCATTAAGGTTGAAACCCGGATGCACGCAGAGCCCTAGTCGGGAGGCAGCGAGGGAGAGGGTCCGCTCTCCAAGGAAGACCTCGCACACATCGAAAAGAATCCCCTCAGTCAGACTCCCAGGAAGCTTGTAAGGAGCAGGCTCAGCAATGTCGTGATGCATCTCAAGGTAACTGGAAATAGCAGGCTGCAGCATAGTATGATGGCCCTTATAGTCAGCATGCCGCAATAGCTCAAAAACAGCTTCCTTAGGCATCTGGGCTTGGCACACTCCCGCAGCAAAAGGGGAAGCATCCGTGCAAAAGAGAGCTTCGATCGGCTCGGCGCGCAAGTTGCTGAACATCATCGGTGCCCAAATGACTAACTGCAGTAACTCTTGCTTCGCCTCCATGGACAATCTGAAAACCTCACTATCCTCCCGGCCTTGAAGATCGTGGTACACTTGCCCTAGCAAAGACATAGCAGGGCGCCGAAACATTGTGACAAAGACCCAGCAACCCAGGATGCATTGAAGAAGGCCCTTAGAGCAGAACCCCAAGACGATCAGCTGGAAGGTGAGGCAGCACAAGGCCGCCGTTTTCAGTCGAGGGGCGGCCAGGTCGCCGCGCACGCCGTCGAGTTCACCTCCTAGCACCGTAGCTTGATAAGCGTTCCGCACAGCCTTTTTCTGAGAAATGCATAGGTGCACTTCCTTATACTGTGCGGCGGCCTGGCTGAAAAGACGAACATCCCTGCGGTCGAGCCGGGGGGCCTTGCCAAACTCCGAAGCGCTTACGATGAGGAGGTAAACTCTATCATCGATACACAACAGGTCGAACCCGGGGCCCTTTGGGAGTGCCTTGCGGTATGCAACTTGTTCTTTGGGAAGGAGCCCCCCTGCGCGGCGAAGAAGAACTGAGTGAGCATGCTGTGCTGTTTCGACGGCAAAGTTCGTGCCCATAGCCAGCGTCTTAAAACACCCGACCACTTGAACATCATGCAGCTCTTCCCTGTAGGCCTTCCAACCCTCGAAATCGCGACCATGAAAAACACCATGTATGTGGTTCCTAGCCGCGTGTCTATCGCCCACCACAAAGCCATGGTAAAAATCCTCAAGGTCATCGGAGCTTATCACAAGGTTCTTCCCCTCTGGGAGGTAGAGCTGGCAAAGTAGCGAAGCATGCGCCAAACTCAGCGTAGCATCGGACACTGAGAAAGACCGCCCGTTCTCTGGGATAGGGTTCAGGATCTGCCGGTCGAACTTATCGCTCTTATATACCGCGAACAGTCCACAGCGAAACTTGAGTTCAGATTCTGAAGCACGAAGCAAATACAGCGAATCAACATCATCCCATTTGCGATATAGCGCCAATTGGTCTGACCGGCTGGCCTGAACCCGGGCCCGCTTCGGCCGGTCCCAAACGGACGACGGCCGCCGAAAAACACTCGGGTCTGAGAACCCTGCTCGAAGCAGAGGATCCACCAAGAAAGGTTCAGCTTTGAAACGAGGTGCGTGCTCAAACTTGAGGCGCTTCGGGTCAATCTGAAGACTGCTGGTTTGGGCCAAAGGTTTCAAGCTGAACTTCGCGGGCGAAGCTGCCGAGGGCTCACTGTCGACGGTGGCGGGCTCCGCTTCTTCACCTCGGGACGGCTTGCAGTAAGGCTGCAGATCGGAGTGCAAACGGGCACTCATCTGATGTAGCACTTGAAGCTGTTTGTCAATCTGGTCGTATTTTTGAAAAGCGCGTTCCAACCCGCTTTTAGGCCCACGCGCTAAGCGGGTCCACACTGCGGCATGCCTCTCCAGCCTGGCGAGCATTTGTAACTGCTTGGCAGAGAGGGGCGGCAAGTCTGCGGTGGGGGTCCCCGGCCTCCCTTGCACCAACCAATTGCCCGCGGCCACTAGGAGGCGGGTCCATGATCGGCAGGCATTTCGGAAATCCCATCGCGCCTTGCGCCGGCCCGCGAGCCTCGTACGAGGGGCAGGCAAAGTGTCAGGAATGGAGCACGGCCACAGTATGGTGGAGCTTTGCGAGGCAGAGCTCGAAAACGGTAGAGCTAAAGACTTTGTAATGTAATTCGCGAGCCGGGTGTGGGACTTGACCAAAAACTTCAAAAGGTGTGTACAAAGTCGAGAAGCAGTCACGTACCCATCTAAACCCGAAGGAAAAAGTTCAGGGAGGAACCAAGTCGCGGTCACTGGCTGCTTGAAGCGGCTGTCTCCTGCTGGTTCTTGCCGCCGCGGCGGCCTCTCCCCTTGGGGGCGTCTGGGCTTGTGGCCCGTGCCCCCGGCTGTTGGCCGTGGGATTTCTGAGTGCGGTCCTGGATGGTCTCCACGTCGCGCAGGTAGCCCAGTTGAGTGGCCACCCATCTGGGATCGGAGAGCATCCCGTGAGGTACCTCGGCACGAGGTGCTTTTCTCTGCTCCACCACTGCAAAAGGAGGGTCCTCCCGGCAGGTCAGCAACCAGGCCAGGCGGGTATGCCCTTGCTCGTTCGCCGCCTGCTCGCAGAACACCAGGCCCAGACTCAAAAGGCTGAGCACCTCGTCCTGTTCGCCTCTCTCCGCTGCCTCCCACATCTCGGCCAGCAGGAAAGACAGGTAGGTCAGCGTCTTGAAGTTGCCCAAGGGGACGGTCTCCTGGAAGTGAGCCCACATGTCCCTTGGTTCCAACTCGGCCACCGAAGCACGACGGCGGGCCTGGGCCAACCTCTCGCGCACCTTCGCGTGAACTTTGCGGGGGTGCTGAAGGAACTGCTCCCGAAGGAGCTGTCGAGCTGCCATCCCTTTCACGCCCGCCACCTTTGAGGAGTCGTCCGAGTCGCCGGCGGATCCAAGGAGGTGCAGCGGGTCGTGGCTTTTCCGAGCTGAGGTGGCAAGCTGACTCAAGATCTGCGTCTGCTGGGCAAGCAGCTGGCTGAGCAGATCGGTGCTTCCCACAGCGGCCACGACCGCGCCTTCGCCGTCCTCCTCGTCGTCCTCGAGTCCAACACCGGCAGCCGGCACAGTACCAGGGCGGATCTTGGGAGCCGCGGCCAACACTTTCGAAGCGCCTCGGGCCGTGGACGATGGACCCGGGAGGTCCCCCAGAGTGCGAGGTGCCTGCCCCGCCAGCTGAAGGAGCTGGTCCACCTGGCCCCGGCTGAGTTTGGCACCGGCACCCTCCTCGAACAGTTGCGGGGCCCAGCCCGGGAGCTTGGCGCTTCCCAGCAGAGGGTTCTTCAACTCCAGCTCCGCAGGCGGTGGGGCGCCCCGCTCTTCCAACAGTGAAAGCCGGGCCTCGATTGCATCCAGGCCGCTGAGCCGTTGCTGAATAATTCCGCTCTGGGTGCTCGTTTGGGCCAGGATCTGCTGGAGGAGCTCGCGTTGGGTGCCGTCCTGGTCTCCGGGATCTGCGGGCTCCTCGGGTCTCGCCTCGGCCCCAGAGCTGCAGGTGAAGTAGGGCTCCAAACGCTCGGGCAGATCCTCGAGCTCGTCGCCGTTGAGAAAAACCTCCAAAGCATCCAGAGCGCCCTTGCCGAGAGGCCAAACATTTTGCAACCGATGGGAGCCGAAGGAGGTGAGCTCGCCCGCCACAGTCAGGGGAGCCTGGTCGCTGAGCATGGTAACGCCAGCAGCGTTGACATCCACAAGCAAACACACGGCGGTTTTCTTCAGAGCCTTTCCTGTGCCCGTCGTGACCCCCAGGGTGGCTGCCGTCCATGGGCCTAGGGTGCCCCCAAAGTCGCTGGCAGTGGCCTCCTCCAAGTCGGCCTGAGGGATTGCCGTGCGAGGAGTGCACAGTATGAACCCTGAGCCCACAGCCCGAACGATAAAGCAGTGGGATGCGCGATCGCCATAGGTCAGGAACAGCTTGCTGTAGTCGCCGTCGGCGGCTGTGCGCCATCCCTTCAGGTAGTCGAGCTCCGAGGGCTCGACCATCACTGAGATCGGGGAAGGCCCGGGAGCCCTGCTCCCAAGCAAAAGGCCTCTGCCTCCGCGGTGCTGGCAAATCCGTGGGACACAGAGGCTGGGTCGAACTCGCCGTGCGGCTTGACCGTGCGGAAGTAGAGGTCGCTGGAGTGAGTGAAGAAAGGCCGCTCCACAAGGTCGCCGACCAGAATCACGTAAACAGTCCGGCGAGAACTGATGCTGGCACTCTCAAAGCACCGCGCGTCGCCGCAGCAGATCCGAGCCGCTTCTCTGCCTAACTGGTAGGCAAGGCGAATCCTGCTCTCGGGGCTCCGTCCACCCAAAGGGGCACGAAGGTGCCGTGCAAGGGATAACACTCGATCCGAAGGGGTCCCCGAGGCCGGGTGAATGCTAAGCTGCGCCGCCGAAGATGTCGAAGGAGCAGAAGAGCAGGTAGCCGCCGAAGGTGCCGAAGGGGAAGAAGAGCTGGTGGCCGCCGCGGCCGCCGAAGTTTCCTGAGAGTTGCTGGTGCGGGTCCCGGCGCTGTCCGGAAGGGAGATCTGAATGGTAAGGCTGCCGAAGCGTTCGATGAGGGCCTGGAGGTTCAGATCCAAGTTAGGCGGTGTGCCCATGCACACCTCGGTAGCGAGCCAATCGGTCCCCGCCTCCGGGGGTGTGCAGCTCGCGGACCGCCGCCCCCAAACAGCTCCAGAGAATGTTCCGGACGCTGCGTGACAGTATTACAGCAGTCAAAGCACAGCCGAAAAGGAAGCCGCACAGCCAACAGAAAATGCCCAAGAGGATCCAGTCGCTGGTATGGCTGCTATTACAACCTAACCAGCCTAAGATGAAGGGCCAGGGGCCCGCTCTCTCGAACATGAAAGAAGCTGCGTCAGCAGAGGCATTCTTTCGACAATCCATAGAGGTCAACGCGCAGATCTGATAGTGGAGGCGCTTGCCTGCACAGGTGAGTGGCCGTAGCTCTGCCTCTGGGAAACGCTTGCCTGCGCAGGGTCTGAACCTTACAACCCACCCAATCTCAAGACCAACCGAAACCCTAAACCAACCACCAAAATCTCAGACACAGTAAACCCGAAAACCCACTAAGATCTCAACCACCCAAACCCTCGAACCTACCAAGATCTCAAGATCCATCCCAAACCCAAAACCCAAAACCTACCAAAATTTAGACACTTCTAGAAACCACTAAAATCTCAGATGTTCCAAACCTACAAAACCACCAAAATCTCAAAACCACTTAAACCTTTCTGAACCTTAAAGCTATCTCACACCTCCCATCATCGATGTGATGCACCACCACTATTCCGGTCTTAACAGCTAATAAATGGAGCCAAGAAGGCATCGCACCCTTAAGAAACGTTCCTTTCTTAGCTTTCTTAGCATTCTTTCATGGGGCTGGTTGCTGGAGGCTTCAGTGCCGCCTTGGCTGCAGAAGTCCAGAGCTTCTTACATAAACAACACAACTACAGACGACTCTGGGTTTAACTAGTCCAAAACCCATTTTTTNNAAGAAACACACGAACTAACAAACAAAACAAACACAAACACAAAATAACTCGGATGCGTATTCTTTTTTCCGCAGAAAAACTAGACTTCTGGATACGCTTGGACGTTTTGGCTTCAACAGACAATCCTTCCTGCTTAATGTGAATCCATCATACTCAAAAAAAGCTCAGTACGTCGACCGTCCATGGCTGACAAGACATCTAAAGGACACCCATCCAACTCAGAAACGCGCTCTTCATTTAGGCCAACGAATCTCTCTCTCGTTGGTCTTTCAACCACTTATTAGGTTTCTTGGCGGCATTGTAATGGCTTTCCCGCGCATCTCACAGCACGCTGGCATCCAGGCTTCCTCCATGCTCTTGTACCCACGCTGCGACTTATGTCTGTGATGGGTCCTTGCGGGAGATGCCGCCGCCTGAACAAGTTGCTAGACGAGACCTGTGCCCACTGCGAAAGGACCCCTCGAGGCCGAAGGTGCATCTGTTGAGGTCTTGGGCAAAACAAAGACC